ATTTAAAGGAAAGACTTAACAAATAATTTTTAATAACAAACATTTGAGAAAAACTTGCTCTGCTTGGGAACAGTTAGCAAAGAAGAGAGGTAAAATTCATCAGATAAATTATCCATTATGAATTATTCACTTAATTTTATGGAAAACTTTAAATTAGTGCAAGATAAAGATCCTGAAGCACAAGGGTATGTGAGAACTTCAAATAACTAGGCTTTGTTAAAAAAAAAAATAATTGTTTAAAGCACATTGCTTAGGCCTTTCTGAGTCATTATGAGTCTCATTATGAGAACTTTCTGAGTTCACTTGGATGAACTTTATCAGATTTGTAGTTACGTTAAATTAATTACAGAAAAGAAAACTGGGGCCACATAAACTGAAGTCATCACCAAGCACAGCCCTGAGTCCTCAGGCGTGGCTTGAGCCTTACACACACACACACACACACCCACACACACACCCACACACCCCCCACACACACCCACACACCCACACACCCACCCACCTCCCTCACAGGCTGCTATTGTCAGAAAATAAAATACTGTCTCTACTGCAGGCAAAAAAGAAAAAAAAAGGCCCAGCCAGGCTAAAAACAAAACATGAATTGTGTGGTGGTTTTGTCAGTCGTTCTCCCACTCTCTGTTCATCTGCCCACCCTGGGGTGCCAGGAAGCCTTCTCAATGAAATACTTTGAGTAAGGCTGTTTATCTTCATTTCATCCCATCTACCTCGTGCTCAAATAAATTCATTGCTATTTCTTGGAGAACATCGGGTTACCGTAATCCCTTCTCCTTGCCTGGATGCTCAGGAATATCAGGAGTTACCATAATCTTTCCCATTTCTAACAAAAAGAGCTTTTCTGCTGCCACATACCTACCATCACCTTTTTTTCTCTCTGTAGTTCAGTTTTATATACTCAGAATCACTTAAAAACCATAATTCATTTGTCCACATGAGATTTAACGCACGTGCACACACAAACCCCCTCCGTACGGTACCCTGCTGTTCTGGCCTGCCCTTACTTGCACTTAAACAAATGACAGCACCAGGAGCACCATTGATGAAAGCTTGGATTTTATTTTAGCCTAACAAATTTTACATTATGAGCTCATACTTGTTAAAGTGCCCATAGCCTAAATGTCCTTGTCCTCAAAATGAAAAAGAGAAAAGAAAAAAGCAGGTTTTTTTCGTGTTAACACACAGAGATTCTTGGTGGAGGTGAGGAAGCATAATCAAACGTTGGGGATGAGGTTAGAGATCCATCATGTGAAGTGTTCGGCACCAGTGCCTCATGAAGGAATTTCCCTCTCCCTTCTCTTTCTCGTGCCTCAAGCCATTTGTTTCTGTTCCTATGACTCAAAGCATCGTTCTGGTTTAGTGGCAAGAAAACCGTTCATGGGACTAGGCTAGGAATGATCACGAGCCCTTTATAATAGTTGGCCAACATATTTTGCCACCCCTGGAGGTATTTAACCACAGGTAGACGTGGTGCTTAGATGCTGTTAAGTGATGGTTTTGGCAGTGTTAGGTTGATGGCTGGACTTGATGGTCTTAAAGGTCCCTTCCAACCTAGCCAGTTCTATGATTCTGTGATTCTATTTCTACAGACCCCACCAGCTGTGGGAGGGCAATGGGCCACCAGGAGAGGTGAGGAGGCACTTATGGGACTGGTATGGCACCACTAATGGGTATGCACTGTAAAGACAAAGCACCATATTAGTAACCCATCAGACCTATTTCAGCTGAAGAGATGAACTGAGAAAACAATTTTATTGCTACTAAACACAGCAAAGAGGACTGCAAAAAGAACAGGCTGTATTGCTGTGGAGAGCTGCTGGGAGCACAAGAGCTTTGTGAGCGGCAGCAAGCAGCAAATTGCACCCACACTCCCAGTGTCCTGCAGTAATAAACAATAATTTATTTATATAAATAAATAATTTATTTATATAAATACACTGCTGTGAATTTAGACTGTCTATACATTTTCAAAGCTTTTTTTTGTTTTGGCTGCTTTGAGCTTATACTGCAGTGGAGTACATGCTTATAAAAGGCTCATGGCAAGAAAAAATATCAAAACTCTCTTCTCAAATGGTAGCTAAAAAGAAAGGTCATAAATTAAGAAACATCAGAGAGATCGAAGTAAGCAAAACTAAGGTTCTATTCTGCAAACCTTCTAATCCTAATAGGGGTAGGGATAAATATTGATCATGCAAGCAGGCTGTGCAGAAAATCAGGCTTTCATCAAGGATGATAAATTAACCTATCCTAATAATTTAATGAAAGAAAAAAAAAAAGGGAGGGGGGGAATTTAGACTTGATAGCAAGGAAGGAGCCTTTTGTCAGATTTTTTTCATGTTGTGAAATAATATCCAAGGGAAATGGCAGACTTCATTTGAGACATAAAAAAAAATAAAAATTAGACTGGCAAATGCATTAGAAAAGGTACTGCAGAAAACTACCCTCAAATGCTCCAGGTGACCTTTTGTAATAGAACTTCTCCATTACTGTTTTGTTTCTCTCTTTCTGAGCCCATATATATTTTGCTTTGGCCCTTAAATGAGATTGCATGATATACATCAACTGTTGGAGAATAGGGATTGCTAATGGGGGCTGATCTTCAATGTCCTTTTGTCATTATACACGGAAGAAAAAGGAACCAAATTAATTGTTTCATTTCATTTTTATTCAGTATACTCTAATATATTTTCATGTTGTGAATTCCAATTTCTCCCAGTTCACTTTGTATCCAGTTTAGGAAAAGCCATTTCTTGTATTTCTTAATATGCTTGTAGGATCTAAGGAAATTACAGAATTTAACAGCTTTACCTCAAAAATCCATGTAAGAGCTCCAATGACCACCATAAGCTGCATGGTCATACTGGGCAAATTGTCTGAGAGTTTGGAGAATTTACTTATATTAACATCTGGAATATAAAGTAGATAAAACCCATCAGAGAGTTTGAAATGTTCCATTCATCAGTAAATCCATTATACTGTACAAAACCACATTGACCCCTTCCCAGTTACGACAAAAGTTTCCATTACTAGAGGTTTAAAGAACCTCTGTCTTTTCCAAGCCTTTTAATATTTAGATGAACTCTGTAGTTTGGAAAGATTCAGGATTAAACCGTGCACTCAGCAATCTGAGTGAATCTCATATTGAAGTCAGTTTTATCTGTTAGATGCATAAAAAGAGCAAATGAATAGTTGGTTGCGAGGGGTTCTTTTTCTGAAGGCCTTGGCCACAAAGTTGGCTGAGTCACCACTGATAGGAAATGGCAAGTAGCAAGCAGGTAAGAACTTAGCACATCCGTTGTATTTTGTCCCTGTCCTTTCGGTGTCCCCACAAGGGTAAATTTTGTGATGAGAATAACCCCAAGGGCCCAAGTTGGTCCGGAGAAGTTGCAAGGACGGACGCGGTTGTGTATCTGTGGAATCTGGTAGTACACAGGGCCAGTCGTGTAGGCTGGTGGTAGGTGTTCACGCCAGTTTTCTGCCAGCTGAGAAAGAGGACACACAGGTCTTAATCATAGAATCATTCAGGTTGGAAAAGACCCTTGGGATCATCGAGTCCAACCATCAACCCTACTCTACAAAGTTCTCTCCTACACCATATCCCCCAACACCACATCTAAACGACTCTTAAACACTGTCTCTCTGAAGAACTTTTTCCTAATGTCCAGTACCTGGAGCGCATTGAGAGGAGAGCCACCAAACTTGTGAGGGGTCTAGAGAAAAAGTCATAAAAGGAGAGGCTGAGGAAACTGGGCATGTTTAGTTTGGAGAAGAGGAGGAGGCTGAGGCAAGACCTCATTGTCCTCTACAAACCACTACCTGAAAGGAGGTTGTAGAGAGGTGGGGGTTGGCCTCTTCTCCCAAGGGAATCATGCCAGGAGCAGAGGAAATGGTCTGAAGCTGGGGCAGGGGAGGTTTAGATTAGATGTGAGGAAGAATGACTTTCCTGAGAGGGTGATCAGGCCCCAGAAGGGCCTGCCCAGGGAGGTGGTGGAGTCACCATCCCTGGAGGGATTTAAGAAACATGTAGAGGTGGCACTTCAAGGCATGCTCTAGTGCCTGAGATTGTTCCTTGGAGTTTTTTGTGTTTGTTTGGGTTTTTTTTTTGTGTGTGTGTGTGTATGGTTGGACTCAATGATCTCAAAGGTCCCTTCCAACCATGAAGATTATGTGATTTTGTGATACTTGCTCTGGCATAAGACCTGTATAAACACTGATAACCAATCAAAATTTGTTGACCTACTTAAACCAGCAAGCTTTCTCTGTGCTATGTGGCTATGGCCTTTTCAATCTTTAATTAAATGGCCTAAAACTGGTTTTATTATCTCACCAAACCACAGCCTTGCACTCTGGCAGGCTTCGTCCATGCCTTCAGGCCCTCAAGGCAGGCGGCTGGGATGGGGACATCCCGTCCCAAGGGCAGGAGCAGCTGACATCTCAGGGCCCTTGATGCCCCAGCCATGACAGCACTCTAAGGAGACACTAGCGAATGCCAGGGACATGGCGGGGGGAAAAAAGCGCAGGATGAAAGGGATACAGTCCCCTGGGCAACAAGACCAATGTAAGCACTCTGTCCGGCCTTGGCCACGTGCAATTCCCGTGGTAGCATGCCTTCCCTCAGCCGCCTTTGATCCCACCACAGAAATACTGCCCTCACTATCCAACCCGGCGCCCAGGCCCTGGAAGTCTTTGAACCTCAGATGGCTGGAAGCCAAAAGAATACTCTCCAGGAGTATTCCTGCGGCATCTGTTACTCCATCCCCAGCACCTACTACTGTTGGCCACGGTTAGAGAACAGGTACCCATTGAGAGGGAGGTTTTGCCCCTGGGCACTGGGGCTCTTGCCCCCAGAGGTGCTCCCCATTCTAATACACCTTTTTGTGGTCCATAAACCAGCCAAGATTTATGGATTTAAGTGTACTGAAAGGCTTGCTAAAAGGGTCACCTAATCAGTGCTTTATTTAAGACTTTTTTTTTTTTTTTTCCAGAGACCGTTTACTGAGTGTCAGTACTCTGCGTGACACTTCATTTCTTCACAAATCGCCTGAGGAGCAGAGGGCCTGGAGGATGTTTGACCGAGTGCTGCTGAGCACTCACATTGTGCACAGAGATGTATCACCAGGGCCCTCGGTGGTGAAACCCATAGGATTTTAATCTATGGGGTCCAGTATTTCCCCACGCCAGCAGGATGGCAGTGTTTTATGGGGGCCGCTTCAACACCTTGGTTGTGTTCAACACAACCACTCTGTGCTCCAACACCTTCAACAGCCTTGATGTGGCTCCAAGGCTGTCCCCATTCCTGAGAGAAACCCTACTAACAAATGGGTCACGGACCAGAACTCTGGTCAAAATCGTCAGGGAAAACTGCTCTTGGCCACCCTGCACCTCGGGGAGCAGCCGGAGCCACCTGCTCCATCAGAAAGGGGAGCTGCGGCCCAGCACAGGCCCCACCTCAAACACTGTGTCCAATTTTGGGCCCTCACCACAAAATAGACATTCAGGGGCTGGAGCGGGTCCAGAGAAGGGCAACGGAGCTGGTGAGGGGTCTGGAGAACAAGTCTTGTGAGGAGAGGCTGAGGGAGCTGGGGGTGTTCAGCCTGGAGAAAAGGAGGCTGAGGGGAGACCTTATTGCTCTCTACAACTCCCTGAAAGGAGGGTGTAGCCAGGGGGGTCGGTCTCTTCTCCCGAGGAACAGGTAATGGGACAGGAGGAAACGGCCTCAAGTTGTGCCAGGGGAGGTTTAAGAGTGGATATTAGGAAAAAAATTCTTCATTAAAAAGGTTGTCAAGCATTGGAACGGGCTGCCCAGGGAAGCGGTGGAGTCGCCATCCCTGGTGGTGAGTAGACATGGCGCTGAGGAGACATGTTTTAGTGGTGGACTTGGCAGTGCTGGGTTAATGGTCGGGCTCAATGATGTTAAAGGTCTTTTCCAACCTGAACGATTCTGTGATGATTCTCTCTCTGCAGAAGCACCACCAAAGAGCCAGACACACCGCCGTGTGGTGGGCACATCTTCCCTGGCATTTCACTCCTCCACGCCCTCCCTCCACCCCCAGAGCTTTGCTGGACACAAAGACTTATCTCCTGGATTTGCTGTTCCATTTCCTTCTTCCTCGTGTGCGTGAAGGAAAAGAGGACCAGCCTCAGAAGAGCAAGGCCAGTGTTTTCTCTTTTTGTGGTGGACTTGGCAGTGCTGGGTTAATGGTCGGGCTCAATGATGTTAAAGGTCTTTTCCAACCTGAACGATTCTGTGATGATTCTCTCTCTGCAGAAGCACCACCAAAGAGCCAGACACACCGCCGTGTGGTGGGCACATCTTCCCTGGCATTTCACTCCTCCACGCCCTCCCTCCACCCCCAGAGCTTTGCTGGACACAAAGACTTATCTCCTGGATTTGCTGTTCCATTTCCTTCTTCCTCGTGTGCGTGAAGGAAAAGAGGACCAGCCTCAGAAGAGCAAGGCCAGTGTTTTCTCTTTTTTTTTCTCTTTTTTTTTTATTTTTTTTTAAATTTTTTTTCTGGGGAAGAAGGGAGAACCCACCACATCTCCTCCTGCCAGGAGGCCGCCAGCCAGCCATTCCTCCCGGGGACACACCGAGGGGGAGCGGTGCTGCCATTAACCCCTTAGTAACACCTGGTGTTAATTGTTCATAAAAGGCCGAGATAATGGGCTTGGGGAATGTGTTTTAATTAGCAGCTCTTTACTCCAGCTGAAGGCCCCTCAAGGCGGCTCCCGCTCGGGGCGGGCCCCAGCGGCCGCATCCTC